CTTAACAGCTTTAATGTACATTAATAACAACCATTATTTGATTATTTGCAATTACCATATATTGTTTGTTAATGTATTTTAAAGCAGTTAAGGTATGTTAGGATGTTTAAGTATACTTACATGCTGCTTATGAATGTTCTATGAAGGATGCATCATAAAGTCATTATGAACGTGCAGTTAATATAAAGCGTTACGTTAAATACAAATATTATGTATAGCCAGCTGACTAGAGCTTACGTGTGTCTCTCTGACTGTGGGTGTGTGTTTGTGTCTGTCTGTGTGTGTTACAAATGTAACATTTGATCCCAGAAGTAAATTACAATGGGGTCTGATGGTGTTTGTATGACATGACATGCTAGTCATTAAATTATTCCATTGGTGTGCCTGTTACAGTTCTTATTGTTAGGTCATCATGCAAATGAGAAATAAATAGAATATAAATATTTAGATATTATGTTGAAGATATAAAGAATATAAATTATTTACATTATATACATTTTATGACATGGATATTAAGAAAAATATCTGGTAACCAGCTAATTTATTTTAGCAAGTATTGTGCAATAAATGAACATGTGTAATTTCAGAGTTATGTGCCACGACTAGGACTCATCATTCAGATGGAAACACATTTTAGGTTTTCATATCTCCAGATGATCCATCCCATACTTATGTAGAGGTTGGAGGTTGAGGGAGGTGTGACTGCACTGCTCCACACCAACCAAATTACACAGAAAGAGAACAGCAAGAATGCTGTAGCTCCCAAATCAAATGGTTCTCTAAGACATAGTGTTCCACCCAGATATAGTTCTGTAATGGTGTTACTTTTAATCCCAGGAGTTAAAATGTCCTTTCCCTATTTGTGTTCTTATGCCTGTTGACGCTCTGTTACAGTCAGAGCCCCCAGATAGACTCACTGATGGGGGCAGGGATGTGTCCAACTTACTACTACACTTTTTTCTTCAGTGGGAGGCATATTGAGTTATTTGACTTTTTCACAATGTTTTCATGATTCATGGTTCGTATGTTTTCTTGGATTCCTTCCTGGGGCCTGACATGCATTAGCAGACACTAGTAAAACTAGTATCAAGGCCGTGACAAGATGTGGAACAAGAATCAATTGACTGTGATGATCAAGAAAATGCTTCTGAATGTATGTTATTGTTCATTTTTTGAATCTGTGGAGTGTACCTCACTTCGGCATGAGAGATTATAGTAAGGGGGTTATCCCAGGTGTGACAGGTTACAGTAAGGGGGAGTTATCCCAGGTGTGACAGGTTACAGTAAGGGGGAGTTATCCCAGGTGTGACAGGTTACAGTAAGGGGGAGTTATCCCAG